CGAGCTTATGTGCTGACTTGCTGCACATGCACACTGTGTCTGTATTTCTTCGCATAAAATTAAAGTTTTATCTACGGAAAATTGTATTTGAGTGAAAGTTTCACAGTGTCAGAAAGATTTAATTTTTCATATTCGTAAATTACAAGTGGGTGCATAATTAAGATTTTTATAAATTAACATAAATTAAAAAAAAATATAGGCTTATAATGTCGAAAGAAGTTAAAAGAAAAGTTATTTCTTTAGAAACTAAAATCGAAATTTTGGATCGCTTACGAAAGGGAGATAGAGTAGTAGATGTTGCAAATCATATAACATGAACGAAGCTACAATAAGAACTATTACAATAAAAATATTGAAAACAATCACCTATAATAAAAATATTGAAAAAAATCACAACTGTTAAATAGCAAAATTATGCATTTTCTGCAAGCTTTTCGATTTACACGTTTTTCTCAGGAACGTATCTACCATGTAAATCGGGGGATAGGTATATATATATATATATATATATATATATATATATATATATATATATATATATATATATATATATATATAATATTTAAATATGTTAGATAGTCTACATGAATTTAAGTAATGCTTGGTGAAATTAAATAAAATGAGTAGGCAACTGTCGAGTTTTGTGCGGGTTCTTTTCAGCTGGAAAGAACTTTACAAACTCAGTCGAATACAAATAATTCAAACGATTTAAAATTATTATAAAGAAATCTATTTTAATAGATTTTAAACAACTGAAAATTTTTAATTCTACGTTAATTAAATCGACACAAATTTCTGTAATTGTTTTTATAATTTATTTAAATATTTTACTTTCATGTTAGTTCTATAGACATTTTTAGTCCCATGTAACTCCATTAATCATACAATACGTCACGTTTGTCTTCTATTGTGTTAGGCAGAAATAATGGAACTTTATTAATCAATATTAATATAGTCAATAAGATAGTAGAAATAGTAGATTTTTTATAAAGTAAAATCTACTTCTATTCCACAGAAAAACAATTATTTTAAATCAACCATCTCGATTGGTAAAATATTCATCAAAGTCGATTCAGCATTAATGCAGATATTGCGAAACAAAAACTAAAAATACAATCGACTGTATAAGAGGGGAAGGGATTGTTAGTAATGGGCATTACCAGTCTCATTGCTAATAATATACCCTAACAGATCGTGCTGAATCTCAAGTGTATTCATCACGATGGGCTAACTGACCTGCCTTTTCATTCTAACCTATCATCCTTCACTGGTACCCTGCCATCGTATACCATTAAAGCAGGCGTGGTTGCCATTATCATTCTTAAAAAAAATCGATTGTATAATCTCCTTTTTGAAGTTGGCAATATTTTGTTTCAAAAACAAAAAGTTGCAATCACTGATCAAAGATAAAAAACAACAAACAAATTTAAATATAATTGCCATTAAATATGAAATATATACTTGGAAATACATTAGAAGTTTCAAGGAATGGAACACGGGTTTTAAATCAGACTATCTAACAACATAAATTTGAAATATGTTCATAATCATCTGTCCAAAGTTGGCGACTTACTTCAGAAGGAGAGATGTCGCGAAAGGAAAGTTGTGATGATACATTTATAATAGCAAACTTTGAGTTATTGTGCATAAGTCTTAGATTGTATAGATAGAGCATCGAGACCCTCAAAAACGGGTCACCTTTTTGTCAGCTAATTGTCAAATTAGCTGACTCGTTTATTTATCAGTGTTCTATATATTTATGCATTAAATGTATCTTGACGTATTATGTAATAAATAAAATGTGTGTTTACGTATTAATGATGCAAAAATTTTAAAACAAAATAAATTTAAAAGTTATAATGAAATCACTTATATCTATTTATCACGTAAATTTGTATGAAATAGTTGTCCCGCTTTTCTCGAAGCATTTCTATGGAGACACTCTATCTATATAATCTAAGGCATAAGTATATACATAATATTATTAGTTATTTTAGAAATTTTGCTAATATAATAACTTACATATGTAAATGTTAATAAAGATGTTTATTACTCAAATATGCTTAAACAAATATAAAACCAAATTTTATTCAAATCTGTTTATCTGTTTGGTTGAACAGATTTAAATGAAATTTGGTTTACAAGTAGCTTATATCCTAACTTAACACATAGATTTTATATGCTAATGCACGCGGTAAATCCTCGGGAAAAAGGTAATATTTTTAATGTGAAAGTTTACAAAGGTGTTTATTACTCAAAAAATATCACTGGCTGTACACCAGAAAGATGAGGATGAAGCAGATCAGTTAGCTCATCGTGACAAACTCAACAATAAATTGATGATAAAAAATAAATTAATGATCTATTTTTAACGTACCACCTACCTATTTATTCTTTTATTCCTTCTACCCAAAGGTTGTCTAGAAGAGATGGTTTAGCAATAAGACAAAAAAGTTATTTTTTCCGTTTTGAATTTGACCATTCACTATGTACATTTGAATATATTTTCTTTGGCGAAACCTTTCTTATTTATTGTCGTAGTATATTGTGTGTATTATTAGAAACCCTATATATCTTATAATCAAAAGAGTGAGATACCTTAACGAGTCTATAAAACCAAATCCGATAACGAATTTCGATTTATAATTTCCTCACATTTAAATCTTTAAAATTTGCCGTGTGTGCCCCGGCATAGAATGGCCCACCCCTTCCTTTTCCGTGGGTGCCGTAAGAAGCAACTAAAGGAGGGCGAGGGATGGACAGCAGCATCTCTCTTAAAAGATCTCTACAAGCATAACTGCAGCTGCCAACCCGCCTGCCAATCGTGGCAACTACTTGCAAGACTTCTCTTATAAAAAAGACTTATGTTCAGCAGGGAACAATTAACAGCTGAAGTAATAATAAAAAATATTTTTTTTTTTTTACATTTTATCATACAAAACAGCAACTAAAAACAAATTATTAAAAACAATTTAGTCATACTTACTCACAGAGCAATTATTATTAATACACATATTTTCAAATTACCCAAGAAAAATAACGCAGTGGAAAAATATACATTCATACATACATTTTTCCACTTCGTTATACGCCTACAAGATTTCAAGTCAGTCTAATAAATGAGGGCGCTATATCAATGGGGTTTTGTGAAATGAGATTTGAAAAGGCCTTTGTCTGCGGACACAGGTAATGGGCCGCAATTAGTACATGGCTTACACATTAATTGGTACAAATGTGCGTACAAATAAGGACTGAACCCGTGTTACACAATGCTACTGATGTTAATACTATTAGATACCTGTTAAGTAATTTGTAACCTACTTCGCGAGAGTATATATTTATAATATATAAGACATTATCATCATCATCATATCAGCCTTTAATTGTTCAATGCTGAATATAAGCTTCCCCCTTGGGGGGTTTTACCAGTAGTTGTCACGCTTGGCAGACGGATTGGCAACCGCAGTCAGGTTTTAATGTTTTAAGAGGGACGCTGCTGCCTATCCCTCGCCGTCCCTTAGTCGACTTTTTGGACTTTTTGGAGTGGCCTATTCTATATTTTCTGTGTTGATTCTTAAACGTGTTCTTAGAAAACAAATGGAACGAAGGAGCTTCTACTCATGTTCATTTTTTATTCGACACGAGAAATTAATAAAGTCACTGCGTTTTTATCATTTCCGGCAATTGTTTCAACTTCATCCGAGACGCTGTGACACAAAGCACTAAATGTTTTTTTTTTATACCACTGAGGTGGCAAACAAGCATACGACCCACCTGATGGTAAGTGGTTACCGTAGCCTATGAATATCTGCAATACCAGAGGTATTACGCGTGCGTTGCCGACCCTGAAGAAACCTCTTTACCCCCCTTTTGAAGAACCCCATGCTGTAGTCTCTTGGAAAAACCTTGGCAGGGAGCTCATTCCGCGCAGTACGCGACTATTGAGGCTGTAAGACATGAGGATGAACTCCCTGTCGATGGCGAGCCGTACGATGGTAGAAAGTGGCTGTGGGCATCATATTGAACAATTCCTCTGAGCACAATCCATTGTACAGGCGGTCCCCTAAAGAAAACTTCCGGATGAAGTCTAAACAATTGTCGGAAACGAAAAAAACACAGTGAGTTCATCAATTTTCCCATATGTATATAGATCAATTACTTAATGAAGAGTTTCAAAAATAAAAGGAAAAAATTTATAATTGAGACTATTATCTGCTAGTCTTCGCTTGATGAAGCGAGCTGTATGTTTGCTTGCTTCAACAACCATTATTGATAACCGCCATAGGTACCCGCAACATCAGAGAAATTACAAGTGTGTTGCCAACCTTTTAGGAAGGAAACCTAGTATGATTAACCTACCACTAAAATTAACTTTTCACTTAATGTTATGCTTGGTTGTTATATATTAGTTTATAATATTTAATTATTGATAAAGATAACTAAATAATAGTAAGCAATAAATATTTTATACAATACATTTTGTACTAGTTGCGAGTAGATAGAAAAATTATATTACATTCATATTCTTCAAATTAACAATACTTAATAGAGTCATTATATTCTCCAAAACATAAAATTAAAAATTTCTCTATTGTAAGAAAAAATTTATTTTAAAACCGACTTTTGGCTAGTTCGTTTCGTTTACGGGAAATAAAAATGCAGTCTAGTTTTACTAAATAAATGATATTTTCATCCCATGCCAATTTATAAATGTAAAAGTTGATCAGAAATTTGAATATTTGTTATTCGATCACGCACAAATCAATTTAATATATCAATTTTGTGCACAAATATCAGGTACATTAAAATATATATTTTTCTAATTCATGCTAACAAAACTTCGTGTCACAAATATAAAAATTTAGTTAACAAAAAATAGTTTCTACAATAAATAAGAGTACCGACAAACACTACATACTTCAAAGTGAATATCTAACATAAATACAGATGGGCAAAGCACCGGGTTTAAACCCGGTGCTTTGGTAAAAACCCAATAAACACCCATAAACTCCCATAATCACCCAAAAAAATAGGTTTTTACGTATTTTTTTGAAAATATGTAAGTAATACCAATAAATTATTTTTATAAATTGTATTGATCAATTCTACAATATTAAATAAAACGTTAACTAATAATATTTCAGGAAATTTTAAAAATCTATATATAATAAAATGAAAATAATTAATTTTCAGTGTTTTCATGTTGCAGTTGATCAACATGTTGGCCTTTTGCTTCCCGTAGATACTTTAAAATTTCTTCATAACACCTCGTTCGCACACATGGCCGTATATATTTAAATTCTTGAGCCACTAACAGTCCGAAATACTCATTTCTTTTATCCTCTTCTCCATAAATTAAGCATTTAGAACAGTTTGTTTCTTCTTTCAGTAAATTTTCTTTTACTTTATCCTCGTTTTTTTCTTTGTTGCGACGACGCTGGGTAAATCATCTGGACACTGGGTCTCACTATCGCCAAATATATTTGGAGATCGGCTTCGGCTACGGCTTGGCAGACATTTTTTTCTTTCTACAATTTTAAATTAAATTTATTAGAATAAATGCTTCGAACACACGCGATCTAAGTACCTTTTGTGTTTATTATACCTTACCTACCTAGGTATAAAAAGAGTACTTACGTAGATTTTCTTTTATTAACTGTTTTATACGAAGATCTTGATCTCTCAAATTAGCATCCATTTTACTTCCAGTGATTATCAACTAAATTAATAATCCACAAAGTATTAAATAACGTTTTTATGAAATATTTAGCACAAAAACAATACCCTTTAAATATCGATCGTCAGTAACTGTGGCTGACTTACCTATATTCTAGCAAGCAGGACTGCCAGATGTGAAGGGGAAATCCCCAATAAATTGTTGCATGTGACTGATGATGTGAGCATGTTCGTTTCATAATAAAAATGTTGCCAGGTAACCAAAAAGTCGTATGTTTTTGTGCGAATTACGATCATAATCTTTACGATCGTACATTAAAAAATAGACAAATAATAGTATGAGTACGATTTAAATCGTATATCTGTCAACCCTGCTAGCAAGACAGCGACAAAATCACGTTGCATAACAATGTAGCCCAAGCTTATATCTTATGAAATATACGGAAGAGATACGGACTTAGAAAAAACAGAAATGTTGTTCTTTGTGGAAGTCATTGATGAAATTCTATGTATTTTAGCCCGCAAACTTTCTTCAAACAAAAACAGCGCCATCTAGTATCGAATTCTGTAATTATCTCTTTGTTTATGGATTTGAAGTAAGACCGCCACGCATGCAATACATTATGACTGGGGATTCCCCTATTCGTCGACGCTGAATATGAGGCGACGACAATCACTGTCAAACGTGTTCACTATTACTCTGACTCTGGTAACGTGACTTCCTGGTAACGTGTTAGGTAGGAAAAGCAGTAAAAAAGTGCATATTAAGGGAGCAGATTTGAAATAATATTTATACTTAACAAGAAATAATTAAAGGTAAGTGGATTTTTGAATGATACAATTATATCATGATCACTTAACAATTTTAACTTAAAATTAGATGTATTATTACAAGCTTTTATTTAGCTTGCGTTATGTAAATAAAAGTATGTAGGTATGTTCGTATGTTGATGCAATTATCCTCAATCCTCAACCGACTGGGATAAAATTTTCCATACACGTTTATTTTGGATGATAGTGCATAGTTAGCTGAGAGTCGTCATTGGATAATAATGGTGGATAGCCTAAGATGTGTACTAGATATTTATTTTTAACATAATATGCGTAAGTACCTAATCGAATTAAAGAAGTTGCTGAGAAAAATACAGAACAATACGATAATAAACTAGCGTCTGCGTTTAATCCTCCGAGGAGATGTAATTTTACAAAGGTTTTTTGTATTTATTTTATTATTTTTTTAATAAATTTATTGTAAATAACAAGAAATAATCATTGTAAAAAAATAGGCACTCTATTGTTGAATTTTCGTCAGACCAACTAATCATCGTTCATTTTTTTAGGTTCAATGGGGAGACCTAAAGATTTACGCATATGGGAGCACTACCATACTTTACCAAACAAGTCTGTTTCTTGCAAGCTTTGTAATAAGGTCTACAAATTCAGTAATGCTGCCAAAATGCTTCAACATCTTATCACTTGTCCAAAATCTCCAGAAACATTAAAAGACTCTATGAAACTTATAAAAGATAGCTCGTCCAAAACCAAAATGTCTGGACTGTCAGAGATAGAGACAAATGATTCTTTTATAAGCCCCTCGTCGTCTGCTAACACTACAATAAATGCTGAGTTTCAAGACACCGATGATCATATAAAAACAGAATTAGCGAGAGCTATATTTGTAACAGGGACGCCATTATCGATGGTGCAACATCCTTTATGGATACAATTTTTCGAAAAATTGCAACCAAAATTTAAAATACCTTCACGTAAAGCTTTAGCGACAAAATACTTAGATAAAATATATAGAGAAATGCGTTTTGAGTTAAATGAGGAACTAAATGCTTGTAGTTACTTACACCTTCAGTGCGATGGCTGGTCTAATTTAAGAAATGAAGGAATAATAAACTTTCTTATATCAAAACCTCAACCTGCATACGTTAAAAGTTTGAATACAGAAAGTAATCCTCACACTAGTGAATACCTTAGCCAAGAAGTTGAAAAAGTAATGAAAGTGTATGGAGCAAATAAGTTTCTTGTACTTATTGGCGATAACGCTAGAAATATACAAAAGGCATTCGAATTAACAAAACTCAAATATCCACATGTTGTTCCTCTCGGTTGCTGTGCACATATCCTTAACTTGTTGTGCCAAGATATTGTAAAGATACAAGAATTAACTGTGTTTATTATGCAAGCCATAAATATAATAAAAACTGTTAAAAGGAGTCAACGATTAAGTTCCTTGTTGATAAAATCAAGGCAGGGTGAAGATTCTACACAAACACTAAAATTGCCTTGTGCTACAAGATGGGGAAGTCATGTTACTTCGTTAAAAAGTTTGAAAGCAAATAAGATAGCTTTGCAAATATTAACAGTTAGAGAAGATGTGGTAATTTCAAGAGATATTAAAGATTTAATTCTAAGTGATGATTTCTGGACGAAGACAGGGGAATGTATAAGTATTTTGGAACCAGTCACTGAAAGCATATTTTACTTAGAGAGCGACCAGAATCGTTTGCATCGCACATACATTACATTTAGAGATGTACAAGCTAAGATACGTTTTGCATTAAATGAGATTTCGACATTGAGCGAAGAAAGCAAACAGCAGATTCTAACATCAGTATCTTCAAGATGCAATATGGCAATGAGGCCAATACATTTTGCAGCATATATTCTAGACCCCAGGACTCTAGGAGTCGAACTTACTCAAGAGGAAGAACTTAAGGGTATGGAGTTTATCTACAATTTAAGCCAACACTTAAGTTTGTCAAATGTAATGGCAGATTTGGCGTGTTATAAAGCTAAAGAAAACTTTTGGGCCAGAGGATTTGTATGGAGCTCATTAGATAGCATTGAGCCCCTAATATGGTGGAAAGGTATTTGTGGTTCCACTGAGTTAAGCAAAGTAGCGATTCGTATTCTATCAGCTCCCTGTACTTCGGCAGCCACTGAGCGTTCCTTTAGTATCCAAGGCTACATACATAATAACAAAAGAAATCGACTTACAACTGAAAGAACTGAAAAAATTTCATTCATTTGTTATAACTGGAATCTTAAACATAAAGCTGAATGCGAGGACATTCAGTTTAATGAAGAAAATACCTTAGAAGCTTTCATTGAGCAAGTAAATGAACATAACAGTTTAGACGAAATAGAGCCTATCGAACCTATACAATTCATCGCTTGTAATAACTCTGAATCTGACAGTGATTGACTGTAGTTTTACATTTTACTTTCATCTCTTTCTTAATAAACTCAAAATCAAATTAAAAGTTTTTTATTCTGTAGGCTGCATAATAATATTGTCTATGTCCAGTATAGTGGACGTCTTGCGGCTGAGATGACGATGATGAAGTACAAAATCATAAACACCCAAAAATTTGGGTGTTTATGGGGTTTAAACCCAATAAACCCAAAACACCCGGTTTTTACCCACCAGACTTTAAACCCACCCAGGTGGATTGCCCATCTCTAAACATAAATGATTCAAAAAATAAAAATAAATAAATACTCAAAGAAGACCTTAAGTCTCTACCCGCCTTATTATCAACCACTGTTTGATGTGTCACTTTCTTTGTCCTAGGGACAAATTTAAGAAGGTATTTGTAAGTGATCCCTACTCATGCGGTCGACAGTGCGGTCAATCGATCAAATAAAAGTCCATCGACCTATTCGACCTAATCTGCGAGGAATCTGAATCCGTATCTCAGATGAACAAAATATTTTTAATACGAGTAAACATCCTCGAATCAAAAACTGAAGTCTAAAGTCATTGTTTTAAGGGTAAGTGAATTATTACGAACTGAGCTTTTGCCTACGACACCATACATATGGGTTTTAGAAGTAAAAAAAAACCAATAAAAAAGATCACTTCTCAATGGCAAGTATCAAGACAAAACATACACCAGATTTCAAGTTACCTTCAGGAACACAATTGTACACTACACGATTGTTCGTAATAATAAAGACGATAAATAAAAAAATCTACTTTATTTTGTAGTGCTACTTTCTGAGTTATCAATTTTATGTCATAAACATGACCGCTTAAAAATTCAGACAAAATGAAAACCTTCTTATCTTAGAAGGCGCTTAAAAATATCAAACCTTCTTTCAAATTTATCATTATTTTACAGGTAAGCGTAATAAAAATCCTTTTTCAATTTCAATTATTTTAGAGCACCTCTGTAATTAGATTTGCCTCGTAGCAAACTGGCTCATTAAGTTAATTGCTTTTAAGAATTTCGGCATAGGAAGGTAGCAGTGAATTAATTCAAAAACAATAAGTTTTGTTTAAGCTACATTAAGTTTCAAGAAGAGCACGACATTAAAGGGTTATTTTGAGGTCTCCGTTTTAATGCGAGAACAATAATTAATGGGGAATTAGACTTTTAAGTACCTGTTTACACCCACAGAATATTATGTAATACGAAAGTATAACAACATTACCACACTGCTGTTACATATAATTTAAATAAATTAAACTACAAGCTAAACATTTAAATAATATGCAAGGAGGTTTTGTTTCATCAAGACATTTTAGTCTTGTACTTGAATTTGTTTGCATTATTTACACTTAATAAGCTAGAGTTGCTATCTAAGAAATTAAAGTTTAATACTTGAAATAAAAAGTATATCATATTTATTACCTTACAATATCTCTAAATACTTAGTAGTATGTTACTCAAAGAACAGAATTCTTTAGATAATGTAAGTACTTCTTATATATAAAATTCTCGTGTCAAGGTGTTTGTTACTAAACTCCTCCGAAACGACTTTACCTATATTTATGAAATTTTGTGTGCATATTGGGTAGGTCTGAGAATCGGCCAACATCTATTTTTCATACCCGTCAATGATAGGGGTGACCCACCCCAAAATATATTTTTTTATTTTTTTGACAAATTTTTTTATTTTTATTTTATTATAATTTAGCATTAAAAATACATACAACTTTAAATTTTCATCGTTTTACGATCAACCCCTGTATTTTAATTGCGATTTTTATATTTCGCAATAAGTTGTAAAACAACGTTTACGGGGTCAGCTAGTTGTAATAATAAAATAAAATTCTAAATCAAATTATTTTTATGAATTTACTGATTCTAAAATCCGGATCATATAGATTCGAATTTCAAGAGTGATATTTAAGCGTGGTTGCATTATCCTCAAATGAAGACAAGTCAATGAAAATTCAGAGCAACTCTAGGTTGAAAAGGAAGATATGATACGAATACTCGGTTTCGTTTCAGAATTAATATTTGTAATACAAAATAAATGTAGATTCGGAAAACATGCTAAACGTGGTGACAGGCGAGAACTGTATGGAGAGGTTTTGCATAATATATGACTTGCAAATGCTTGCTTTCGACATGCCAGCCAAATAACAGGATTCTCGAAATCTCGACGTAGACTACCTCGCTTTTGTTCAAAACTATTATTGACTATTAAATAATTAACTGTTTGTTGACTTTGGGTGATAAACATACAAAGAGACACACTTAAAATTGAAATCAAAATTTAATGCAAAATTACAATGACTTCCTTAGACCAGTACATCAAATATTAGTTGTATTCAGTTTTTTTTTATGCAACTTATAATGGCAAACAATCTGAAGGCCCACCTGATAGAAAGTAGCGACCGTTACCTATAGACATGAGCAGTACCGTGGACATGACGGAGTATACTGTTTCGCCCATGATACCTTCTATGCGTTTCCATTCCTGAGAACTCAGGTATTACTTCTCTACACCCTGTAAATTCACTGTATTCGTCTAAGTAGCTTTATGATTTTTAGGGCTTTGCATCTATACTTTTTGTATATTTTTTTTTTAATAATAGATAATGTGGATATATATTTATAAATACAGAAGTTCAAGTAAGGATTCGTATAACGCAAAGAAAGTTATAGATTATGCCAATTTTATGGTAATTGCCATAGGTTACAACTTAAACAATTCGCATGACCTCTTTTAATTGGATCACCGCATCCGTCTTTTGTATTAAATAACTGTCCTCGCATATACAACAACTAACGACCCCTTAAACTACTATGTACAACCGAAACCGCAGTCAGCTGTTAGTCTACCATACTCGTAAATCTGATTAGAGAAACAACTAGAAACAAAAACAAAACGTAAATAAATGCTCAGCATTTATATGGAAAAATATTATTCCTTTGTAACCTGACACTTGTCGATTATGTTGTATAACGCCGCGCTGACAGTATAGTATGTTCGTTTCGTCAGCCATTTTATTCATGACACTTTTCAGTTGATATATCCCATCCAGTAAATGTAAAACAGAACCCAAATCCGGCCGTAAAATACGGATGGGTATACTCGAATCGTGTAAATAACAATTTTTAATCACGTGAATATTTTTAAAAATACTATTACACAAAAACTATGTATACTAGTTATTCTATGTTTATACATATTTAATTATAGTAATATATATTTATATGTGTGTGTACGTATATATTAATACGTACATATATATATATATATACTGACTGATATTACTGGAGGAAATCCCTATAAAGGGATAAGTCTGCCTGTATACATTTTTGTTATAACCACTTATAATATAATAATACTATAAGTGAATGTACAAAAGTATATGAATAAATAAATAAATCAATAAATAAAAATAATATCAGTTTTTTTTTATGAATTAGTAACTCTTTTATTGTGATTTCTAAGAGAATGACGCCGTAAATTGTATATTTATGAATGATTGAATAATTTAATGAAAACTCTTTACTGAAAAAGTCTATAAGAATAAGAAGATATAAAAATAAATGTTTTATTAATAAAATTCAGACTTTTAAAATATGGAGACATAAAAAAAAAGAAAAGAAACAAGATAAAAATTCTGAACAATCGCTAAATAGCGATCTCTTTTTGACCTCTTTAGGATAAGAGGAGAATTAAAACTTGCGTTTGCATGTAAATAAATTTAAATATATCATGTACATATTCACTAGTAATAATGTGTCGAACACTTAAATTTAACTATTGATAAAATGAGAACAAAATTGTACTGTGTTGACCTAAAAATAATGAGAAAAGTCTGAAGATTAATAATGATAAAACAGCATTGTTGAATTGATCTAAAACCACGTGCCTACTCTTGTTACTGCTATAGATAGAACAGATGTAACGATGCTCATTTATTACGGCATGGACCATTTTCCTCGGTTTCCATTAAGTTGTAAAACAGAACAAAAGACGCCCCTTGTAACTCGACACGTGTCGGCGACACTGCGTCGTGACGACGTGTGCGACACTCTGATACTAGCAATCGGATCGAAGCGCAGAGATAGGATTCCATACGATAATGGGAACTACCATGGTACTTATTATTGTGAAGGGATAGTTTGTTTATATGGACTAGTTTGTTCAAGAATACTACGACTGTAAATAAGATAAATAAACATATTTTCTACCGACTTCAAAACAAAGGAGGTTTTCAATTCGGTTGTGTTGTTTTTTTAAAGTTTGTTACATCATAACTTCATCACTTCTAAACCGATTTAGAAAATTCTTTCTTTATCTGAAAGAATATTCTTATAGATTAGTCCCATACAAATTTTATCAAAATAGAATAATTAGTTTAGTTTTTAAGTCAAAATAACTGGTATTTCACACAATTGAAGTCGGTTTTTTTGTGGAACAACTATTTAATTCTTGTTCCGCTAAAAAATTTACAAAATTAATACTGACATATTTTAGGTTTCCTATTTTGAAAAGAATACAATGCATTAATTAATAAACCTATGTTTCATAGTGTCGTTATATTTAAAATATTTTATAATGAATATTTTTATTTGAATTCAAAGCCTAAAAATTCTCCACAAAGAAGTATTTCACTTTTTTATAAAAGTAATAAAATTTTGTAAAAAGAATTATCAAGATCTGTCCAGATTCGACGAACATATCGTTTACTTAATACAGCCGTTTCCATGCGTACCGAAAATATGATAGTGGAGCGCAAGATGGCCTCTCAATAACATTAATCGCTCTTTCCTTTACAGAGAACTGCCGTTTTATAGATATCGAATTTCGTTTCATCTCAATTCTTTTCAAGATGTTACAGCAAAAACGACTTCAAGAAAGTAAAAATAAACATGAATCTTGAAAAAAAAGATATTATCACTTTATAAAGCCGTACTTTTAACCCATTACCGAATTAATGATACTCTCAATTTGTCTTATAAATCTTTGCTAATTTTAATATTTTTTTATAATATTTAGAATAGCAAAGAAGCTGATATTCCATCTGATGGAAAACGTCGCCTAAAAACATAAAACTGAATTGAGTACCTTCTTTTAAAATCGATTTAAGATTGTCAATTCAGTTGTTTTTTATGTTTATTACCTCATAACTCCGTTAATTGGAAATCGATTTGTATTTTTTTTTATCTGTAAGGATATACTTTCAAATTATTTTCATTAAAATTTTAACAAAATCGGTTTACTAGTTTACTTTCTAAATCAAAATAAAGTTGGTAAAACTTTATCTGAGAAATTAGTTCAGGGTACGATAGTACTGATATACCTGAAGTAGGTAAAAAAACAATCGAAGTGATTTTTTTTGTGGAACACAATTTATTTATGTAAATTCAGTACTAGTAATCCTCATTACTAACAATCCCTCCCCTCCCCCCTTCCCCCATAAAGTACGTTGTATCCAGCGACTTTGCAACACTCTTGAAATCGTCTCGCAAAAGGT